AGAGTGTGTCTTCCTGGCTACAACAAAGCATTTTAGACTATCAGCATTTTTTGTTCAGAGCTAGGCAACAAACTTAAACTTTGTGCTGTTATACTGGGTAAATTTGTGATTTAAAACCTGAGAACACAGGGATACTGACCCATTTGGGGTGGCTGCTGATATGGTGGTGGCTCTTGCAGTCAGCTGTGAAGGAGCTTAGGACAAGAAATGGAGGAAAGCAATGAAATGTTTCAGATGCAACAGAGATCCTCGGGGAAAAACAGGTTGGTGCCCCCATGAGGGCTGTGCTCTTCCATGTCAGGAATCTTTACTTTTTCCTAATTGACAGTTTAAGTTTGTAGCAAGTAAGATGTGAAAAGTATGTTCTCTAGCCATTTATTTAGAAGGCTGTAGGTGATGTGATTTCATGCAGTAATTCCAGGTTGCTATTTTGATATGGGGGATGATACTCTGAATAGCCCATGACTTGCATTCTAGTTATCATCTGTATCAGACTGTAGGCGTAGACCTACCTGCTGTGCTTTCTCCAGTTTGTGTAGTGGAAGGACAAGTTCTCAAAATTTACACTGTGCTGAAACAAGAGAAAAGAATAGTGCTGCATTTGTTACTGCTTTGTTCTTTTAATCTGTACTGTTGAGGCTGCATCGTCAAGTAATTGATGTCAGCAGCATTCCATGCAGTGCTTTTTGACTACTTCAGGAGGCAGGCATTCTGCTCTGAAAGTCCCTCTAGAGTCTTAGTTTTGAAGCCATAAATTGCAACAAATGTTCCCCTCATGTCTCTTAACAAAAATAGGAACTTTTCACTGGAGTAAGAAAAATAAACCATGATTAAGGGTAAAGCGTGGTGAGGTGAGGTTGAAAATCTTACAACCTACTACAGTTAGTTTTAATGCAGGTGTTTGTACTTAGAAATGTGCATATGTTCAAGCCCTCCATCACAGTAAGATCTGTCAGAGCTGGATGTGTGCTGTCTGTATTTTTTCTGCTTAGCAATAGTTTGATCAAACATTTTAAGGGATTACAACTGGCCTGTACTCTCTGTGGACTGTAGGAGAGTTAGATATCCTAAGGTGTCATTTCTGAAAACTTGCCTCTCTTCTATCCCACTACTTTTTCCTTCAGCTGCATGACTGAGGAGATTATCTTGCTAAAAGGCTAATGCAATAGCATTTTGGGAAAGAACACGAACTTAGTTTTTCAAAAACTGTTCTACTGTTTCACACTGTTCTGGTTTTGGGGTTTTTTACTTTTTTAATAGTAGACTGCTGGCTGTGGGCAAATATATGCTTTATAAAATTACTGTAGATGAGGAAGGTAAGCAGGAAAGAAGGATTTTGTGCATCATCTGTATTTTATGTACAAAGAAAATCAGCTGGAAAATTGTGGTATACAAATAGCAGCAATCAGCAGAGCAGCACACTTAAAGTATGGGTAGAATTGCTCATGAGCTCAGACAGCTCATCTTCACACGTAATCGTGCCAGAGCAGAGCCCAACTGTCTCTTGTGATAGCCTGTGATGATGGCTGGTTGCTGCCAGCACTGAGTGTCACAGATTCTGCAGGTGGCAAGTGTGAAAGGTACCCAAGTTTGAAGGCTTGAATAAAGCATGTAAAACCATCAGGATTCTGAGGGGTTTAGACTACTTCATAAAGTGATGTGATACTGTATTACCTGCTTGCCTGGGTTTTTTTTGCTGTTTAGGTTAAATGTATAAGCAGAATGAGATCCATGAAGCTGTCATGCTTAAGTGGAGAGCTCAGGTAATAGAACAAAAATGCCATCACAACTTAACTATAAAAATTTATTGGTTAAATACATTCTTAATTTACACAGGTACCATAACAAACTTACTGGACTCAACAAAGATTTATTTAGGACACTGTTAATTGTACACAGAACAAAGATGTCTTCCTGAAGATACTTTCAGAGGGTTGGTCAAGCAGAAAATGTTTTGATAAATAAGGCTTTTATTATCTTACTCGTGTGGGGCTGTAGCTGAATTTCAAGGTTACAGCTGAAATTTGCTACTGTATTGCAGTTAGGATTTGTGCTCCACCTCATTCTTGGGGTTTTTGGGTTTTTTTTACAAATTACGTACTGTACACCTTCGAAATTTTATGTTAGGATCTGTATACGTTTTCATTGGGCATCAAGAAAATCCCTTCCTGTAAAAGCCAAGGGTTTAAATTGTTTCAGTTTTGTTTTAGCTGCCTGCAACAATTAAAGCAGCCTTTAGATGGCACTACTTGCTCTGAATATAAGGCTTGGCTGCTCTTCCTGGCCTGTGTAATAGGGAGGAGATGGTTAAAATAAAGCAGTGGTCTTACTGACAGGCACTGACTTTAAATATTCAGTGAAAGTTACAAAAACAACTGGTCAATACATAGTTATAAAAACAGATGAGGAAATTGGAAAGAATATAAAAAAATCAGCTCTACTTTTGAGACTTGTATCAAAATCTTATAAAACTGCCAAACAGTAAGTAAACAAGATACACTTAAGCCTCTTCCACCATGACAATGATATGGTATGTCTTTGGAGCACCTGTTGGTGGGGGCTTTGCTTGGTTCTGCTGTTGTCCCCTGTGTGCTCGCTGGAGGCTCAGAAGTTGTGTTGCCATAGGTCATGGTGGAAGCAGCCTGTTTCAATAGGGTGATATACTGAAATACTAAGGTTGGAAAGTCTTGAGTAGGGCTTGCAGGAGTCAGGAAAGCTGTGTATTTGTTTCCTTGGATTTCTCTAGGAGATAGGGCTGTTTTATTGGAATAAACAATCAGAAGCTTTAGCATCTCCTGCCCGGGGAGAGCTTGGAGAGTGGGAAGGATTGTCCTCAGAGGTGAACTTAGTCAAAGTTTCATTCTACAGGGTTTCCAGATAGGCTTGATGGGGATGGTAAAACTGAATAGTATAAATTGTTGTGTTTCCATCTTTTTAGATGAGCATATAATTTATAATTGGTCTTGTTAATCCCTTTAATGAAAGTAGAAAACCAGTTCCTGGGTCATTAAAACTGTGATCTTTATTCCTCAGTTGTGTGCATGGTATTGGTGCAGTTTAAATATACAACACTCCGCATTAATGAAGCTTCTAGTGAAAATAAAAACAACAAAACAATTGAAGGGCTAATGCCTGTCCTGTGTTTGTACTGGCAAGGACTGTGGCATAACAGTGACTGCAGAGCAAAACGGTGCCAAAGACCTCATGGTCTGTGCTGCACGTTTCTCAGGCTCACTTCAGGTGAGCTCCAGTCTGCCACAGAGGACCTGTTCTCTGTGCTGGGGGACCATAATAACTGGATCTTACATGAGTAAAGCTGTAGGCAGGCAAGTGACTAGATCAAAACTTTCAAGGTCAGTTGTGCTGGTTCTAATTTCCAATCTTCACATGCAACTCAACTGTTGGCCCTTTTGCAACCTGAACTTCCAGACTCACAAAGAAAAATACTGTAAGGGTATCTTCATATACCTAGTGTGACCTGCATCTCTGAAGTAATGACTTGTGCTAGCAGCTTACTGGTTCCTTTTTTTTGTTAAATAGTACAAAAGTGATGGAATACTGTCAGCAATGAAAGCCAACTGCAGCAGAATTTTTTGTATTCCAGTCTGATGAAGTCAGCAGTTAATCAAGATGCATTTAACTATTTTGTCAGAAGCCAAGTGTTGCGAAAAGGAATTTACTAGGAGCAGTTCCTATAATTTGAAGCTACCTCAATAATGTCTGTCTTAGTTTGTCATTAAGTCACAGAGCTAGTTTTTACTAAATGCTTTTGTTAAAGCTTCTTGAAGTAACCTCTTGCCAGGCATGTTTTCCTTAAGGCCTCTAAAGACCATTTATAATGATGCTCAGTATAGTTGGTATGTGGTAACAAACTGAAAACTAATCCCATGTCTGCTGAAAGCTAAAACCAAGGCTGTATAATATCCTTCATGTTAAAGACAGGAATAGTGTTACTCAAGTATGTTCCAGTGCTTGAGTGACAAATGAAATGCAGACTGAGTGAAGACTGGTTTTCCACTTACATGAAGGGGGTGGAGGGGCAAATAGTTGGAATAGTGCAGCTACTGCATGGAGGGGATCTGAG